AGGGTCTGAGACTGTGAGGTCCAGGGTCTGGGACTGAGGTCCAGGGTCTGGGTCTGTGAGGTCCAGGGTCTGGGACTGTGAGGTCCAGGGTCTGGGACTGTGAGGTCCAGGGTCTGGGACTGTGAGGTCCAGGGTCTGCGTCTGTGAGGTCCAGGGTCTGAGACTGTGAGGTCCAGGGTCTGAGACTGTGAGGTCCAGGGTCTGAGACTGTGAGGTCCAGGGTCTGAGACTGTGAGGTCCAGGGTCTGCGTCTGTGAGGTCCAGGGTCTGCGTCTGTGAGGTCCAGGGTCTGAGACTGTGAGGTCCAGGGTCTGCGTCTGTGAGGTCCAGGGTCTGCGTCTGTGAGGTCCAGGGTCTGAGACTGTGAGGTCCAGGGTCTGAGACTGTGAGGTCCAGGGTCTGAGACTGTGAGGTCCAGGGTCTGAGACTGTGAGGTCCAGGGTCTGAGACTGTGAGGTCCAGGGTCTGAGACTGTGAGGTCCAGGGTCTGAGACTGTGAGGTCCAGGGTCTGAGACTGTGAGGTCCAGGGTCTGAGACTGTGAGGTCCAGGGTCTGAGACTGTGAGGTCCAGGGTCTGGGTCTGTGAGGTCCAGGGTCTGGGACTGTGAGGTCCAGGGTCTGGGACTGTGAGGTCCAGGGTCTGGGACTGTGAGGTCCAGGGTCTGGGACTGTGAGGTCCAGGGTCTGGGACTGTGAGGTCCAGGGTCTGGGACTGTGAGGTCCAGGGTCTGAGACTGTGAGGTCCAGGGTCTGAGACTGTGAGGTCCAGGGTCTGGGACTGTGAGGTCCAGGGTCTGAGACTGTGAGGTCCAGGGTCTGAGACTGTGAGGACCAGGGTCTGAGACTGTGAGGTCCAGGGTCTGAGACTGTGAGGTCCAGGGTCTGAGACTGTGAGGTCCAGGGTCTGGGACTGTGAGGTCCAGGGTCTGGGACTGTGAGGTCCAGGGTCTGAGACTGTGAGGTCCAGGGTCTGGGACTGTGAGGTCCAGGGTCTGAGACTGTGAGGTCCAGGGTCTGGGACTGTGAGGTCCAGGGTCTGAGACTGTGAGGTCCAGGGTCTGAGACTGTGAGGTCCAGGGTCTGAGACTGTGAGGTCCAGGGTCTGGGACTGTGAGGTCCAGGGTAATGTCTGGAGTAGTATTCAAGCTCTGTGCCCTCAGGACGGCTGCGTTCGTTGCAGCCCCCGCTGTTAGCTTACTGCTGTTAGCTTACTGCTGTTAGCTTAGCGCTGTGAGCTTACTGCTGTTAGCTTACTGCTGTTAGCTTACTGCTGTTAGCTTAGCGCTGTGAGCTTACTGCTGTTAGCTTACTGCTGTTAGCTTACTGCTGTTAGCTTACTGCTGTTAGCTTACTGCTGTTAGCTTACTGCTGTTAGCTTACTGCTGTTAGCTTAGCGCTGTGAGCTTACTGCTGTTAGCTTACTGCTGTTAGCTTACTGCTGTTAGCTTAGCGCTGTGAGCTTACTGCTGTTAGCTTACTGCTGTTAGCTTACTGCTGTTAGCTTACTGCTGTTAGCTTACTGCTGTTAGCTTAGCGCTGTTAGCTTACTGCTGTTAGCTTACATTTGTTAGCTTACTGCTGTTAGCTTACTGCTGTTAGCTTACTGCTGTTAGCTTACTGCTGTTAGCTTAGCGCTGTTAGCTTAGCGCTGTGAGCTTACTGTTGTTAGCTTACTGCTGTTAGCTTACTGCTGTTAGCTTACTGCTGTTAGCTTACTGCTGTTAGCTTAGCGCTGTTAGCTTAGCGCTGTTAGCTTACTGTTGTTAGCTTAGCGCTGCGGTGGGTGCTCTCCCCTGGAGCATAAGTCAGAAGTTTCAGCGGCAAAAGGACAATAAAGGGTCATATTTCTCGTCTTAAATGTTGTTAAAAGTAACGTTTATTTATTTATCAATGATCAGAAGTGTGTTGTTATTGATCAGAAGTGTGTTATTATTGATCAGAAGTGTGTTATTATTGATCAGAAGTGTGTTATTATTGATCAGAAGTGTGTTGTTATTGATCAGAAGTGTGTTGTTATTGATCAGAAGTGTGTTATTATTGATCAGAAGTGTGTTATTATTGATCAGAAGTGTGTTGTTGTTATTGATCAGAAGTGTGTTGTTATTGATCAGAAGTGTGTTATTATTGATCAGAAGTGTGTTATTATTGATCAGAAAGTGTGTTATTATTGATCAGAAGTGTGTTATTATTGATCAGAAGTGTGTTATTATTGATCAGAAGTGTGTTATTATTGATCAGAAGTGTGTTATTATTGATCAGAAGTGTGTTATTATTGATCAGAAGTGTGTTATTATTGATCAGAAGTGTGTTATTATTGATCAGAAGTGTGTTGTTATTGATCAGAAGTGTGTTGTTATTGATCAGAAGTGTGTTATTATTGATCAGAAGTGTGTTATTATTGATCAGAAGTGTGTTATTATTGATCAGAAGTGTGTTATTATTGATCAGAAGTGTGTTGTTATTGATCAGAAGTGTGTTATTATTGATCAGAAGTGTGTTATTATTGATCAGAAGTGTGTTATTATTGATCAGAAGTGTGTTATTATTGATCAGAAGTGTGTTATTATTGATCAGAAGTGTGTTATTATTGATCAGAAGTGTGTTATTATTGATCAGAAGTGTGTTATTATTGATCAGAAGTGTGTGTGGTTCTGTTGATCCCAGATCCACTGTCGTCACGGTAACAGCTTCATTGTTGAAAACATTGGACTCCTTCAAAGTCTACACGCTGCGTTGGAAACAGTTTTATATCCTGTGTGTGTGTGTGTGTGTGGGTGTGTGTCTGTGTCTCTGTGTGTGTGCCTCTGTGTGTGTCTCGGTGTGTGTGTCTCGGTGTGTGTGTCTCAGTGTGTGCCTGTGTGTGCCTCTGTGTGTGTGTCTCTTGGACCTGTCTGTGTGTGTGTGTCTCAGTGTGTGTCTGTGTGTGTGTCTCTGTGTCTGTGTGTTGCTGTCATTGATCTGAGGGGAAATATATCATTAACAATTAAAAAGATTCATAAATAATTTACAGAAATGTTTGAGTTTCTCCAAAGGTTTCGACACAAAACACATCAGAATCAAACACCACGTAAATATACAAAAGTACAGTTAGTAACTCACTTAGTTAGTAAGGTTTTAACTTAGTAACTCACTTAGTTAGTAAGGTTTTAACTTAGTAACTAACTTAGTTAGTAAGGTTTTAACTTAGTAACTAACTTAGTTAGTAAGGTTTTAACTTAGTAACTCACTTAGTTAGTAAGGTTTTAACTTAGTAACTCACTTAGTTAGTAAGGTTTTAACTTAGTAACTCACTTAGTTAGTAAGGTTTTAACTTAGTAACTAACTTAGTTAGTAAGGTTTTAACTTAGTAACTAACTTAGTTAGTAAGGTTTTAACTTAGTAACTAACTTAGTAAGGTTTTAACTTAGTAACTAACTTAGTTAGTAAGGTTTTAACTTAGTAACTAACTTAGTTAGTAAGGTTTTAACTTAGTAACTAACTTAGTTAGTAAGGTTTTAACTTAGTAACTAAATTAGTTAGTAAGGTTTTAACTTAGTAACTCACTTAGTTAGTAAGGTTTTAACTTCATAACTAACTTAGTTAGTAAGGTTTTAACTTAGTAACTAACTTAGTTAGTAAGGTTTTAACTTAGTAACTCACTTAGTTAGTAAGGTTTTAACTTAGTAACTCACTTAGTTAGTAAGGTTTTAACTTAGTAACTAACTTAGTTAGTAAGGTTTTAACTTAGTAACTAACTTAGTTAGTAAGGTTTTAACTTAGTAACTACTTAGTTAGTAAGGTTTTAACTTAGTAACTAACTTAGTTAGTAAGGTTTTAACTTAGTAACTAACTTAGTTAGTAAGGTTTTAACTTAGTAACTAACTTAGTTAGTAAGGTTTTAACTTAGTAACTAACTTAGTTAGTAAGGTTTTAACTTAGTAACTAACTTAGTTAGTAAGGTTTTAACTTTAACTTAGTTAGTAAGGTTTTAACTAACTTAGTTAGTAAGGTTTTAACTTAGTAACTAACTTAGTTAGTAAGGTTTTAACTTAGTAACTAACTTAGTTAGTAAGGTTTTAACTTAGTAACTAACTTAGTTAGTAAGGTTTTAACTTAGTAACTAACTTAGTTAGTAAGGTTTTAACTTAGTAACTAACTTAGTTAGTAAGGTTTTAACTTAGTAACTAACTTAGTTAGTAAGGTTTTAACTTAGTAACTAACTTAGTTAGTAAGGTTTTAACTTAGTAACTAACTTAGTTAGTAAGGTTTTAACTTAGTAACTAACTTAGTTAGTAAGGTTTTAACTTAGTAACTAACTTAGTTAGTAAGGTTTTAACTTAGTTAGTAATATTTTAACTTAGTTAGTAAGGTTTTAACTTAGTAACTTATTAAGTGTAACAAAGAAACAGAAGCTAAAGATGAACAAACACAAACTCTTCAGTCTGAAGCGGTCTGCTGTGGCTGTTATTACTGATGCTAACATCTGATGCTAACATCTGACGCTAACATCTGATGCTAACATCTGATGCTAACATCTGACGCTAACATCTGATGCTAACACCTGTCTCTCTGATGCTAACATCTGATGCTAACACCTGTCTCTCTGATGCTAACATCTGATGCTAACACCTGTCTCTCTGATGCTAACATCTGATGCTAACACCTGTCTCTCTGATGCTAACCTCCGGTTGCTAACCTCCGGTTGCTAACCTGTTGCTAACCTCTCTCTCGTCTCCAGCTCCAGGGAAACATCTTTGCGGGCTTCGATGAGTCGCTGCTGCAGCGCGCCGAGGCGTTGGCGGCGGTGGACATCGCGGCGCAGAAGAACCACCCGTTTAAACCTGATGCCACGTACCACACCATGACGACCATGACGTCCATGAGCTGCACGCCGACCTCGTCCTCCGCCCACCTGCACCACCCGTCTGTGCTGAGCTCGCACCACCACCACCACCAGCCCCAGGGCCTGGAGGGAGACCTGCTGGACCACCTGACCCCGGGGCTGGCGCTGGGCGCTATGACGGCGCCGGACGTGTGCTCGGCGTCTCACGGTCACCACATGTCGGCCATTAACCACATGCAGCACCACCACCACGCGCAGGCCGTTAGCATGCACGCCCACGGCCTGTCGCACGGCGGTCTGGGCACCGTGGAGGCGGAGCCTGATCCTCGAGAGCTCGAGTCGTTCGCCGAACGCTTCAAACAGCGGCGCATTAAACTGGGCGTGACTCAGGCCGACGTGGGCTCGGCGCTCGCCAACCTGAAGATCCCGGGCGTGGGCTGCCTGAGCCAGAGCACCATCTGCCGCTTCGAGTCGCTCACGCTGTCGCACAACAACATGGTGGCGCTGAAGCCCATCCTGGAGGCGTGGCTGGAGGAGGCCGAGCGGGCCCAGAGGGAGAAGATGGCCAAGCCCGAGATCTTCAGCGGCGCCGACAAGAAGAGGAAGCGCACGAGCATCGCGGCGCCCGAGAAGCGCTCGCTGGAGGCTTACTTCGCCGTTCAGCCGCGACCGTCCTCAGAGAAGATCGCCGCCATCGCAGAGAAACTGGACCTGAAGAAGAACGTGGTCCGGGTCTGGTTCTGTAACCAGCGGCAGAAACAGAAACGCATGAAGTTCTCTGCCACGCACTGAGCGCGTGCAGACCGTGGACTCAGACAGAGGCCGCAGCCGCCCCGGGGCAGGCCACAGCTCAGACTCAGACAGAGGCCGCAGCCGCCCCGGGGCAGGCCACAGCTCAGACTCAGACAGAGGCCGCAGCCGCCCCGGGGCAGGCCACAGCTCAGACTCAGACAGAGGCCGCAGCCGCCCCGGGGCAGGCCACAGCTCAGACTCAGACAGAGGCCGCAGCCGCCCCGGGGCAGACGGCTCCGGTGAAACCTGCTCCAGACGCATCTGTGTTTACTTCCTCATTCCTCGTGGATCGAAGACGCTTCAGTTCCGTGGCCACGGTTTAGTTTGTGTTTCGTTATAAATGTCACTCAGAGGTTGGACCGGAGCAGGTCTGTGGAGCGGCTGTGGAGCGGCTGTGGAGCGGCTGTGGAGCGGCTGTGGAGCGGCTGTGCAGCGGCTGTGGAGCGGCTGTGGAGCGGCTGTGGAGCGGCTGTGGAGCGGCTGTGGAGCGGCTGTGGAGCGGCTGTGGAGCGGCTGTGGAGCAGCGTCTGTGGAGCGGCTGTGGAGCGGCTGTGGAGCGGCTGTGGAGCGGCTGTGGAGCGGCTGTGGAGCCACAGACTCTGAACTGATTCAAAGACAATAATTGTACAAAGAGCTTTTTATAAGAAACTGTAGATTTCTGTGAATATGTCGCTGCTCGCAAAAAGACTGAAATTATTATTCACTGTTTCCTCTCTAGTTTAATCAGACCTCTCTAAACACACACACACAGGACAGACACACACACACAGAGACACACACACACAGGACAGACACACACACACACACACACAGAGACACACACACACACACAGAGACACACACACACACACACACACACACACACACACACACACACACACACACACACACACACACACACACAGGACAGAGACACACACACACACAGAGACACACACACACACACACACACAGACACACACACACACACACACACACACACACACACACATACTCAGACAGACACACACACACACTCACACACAGACAACACACACACACACACACAGGACAGAGACACACACACACACACACACACACAGAGACACACACACACACACACAGAGACACACACACACACACACACACACAGACACACACACACACACACACACACACACAGACACACACACACAGAGACACACACACACACACACACACACACACACACACTCACACACAGACACACACACACACACACACACACACACACACACACACACACACACACACACACACACACACACACACACACACACACAGACACACACACACAGGACAGAGAGGTCTCGGCGCTGCATGGTTTCTGTTGTAAAAGAGGCGTTCAAAGACCGTCGGTGGTTTGTGTTTTTCCCGCACTGTCCTCGTTCAGTGAAAGCGTCGCAATAATTGTGTAATAATCACTGTGTCACGTGCACCTGAACGCACCACGCCGCCGCTCACAGGGCGTTTCCCGCAGAGACGTCAGCGTTTCAGCTGGCGGCCATTTTGAGTGTTCCCATTGGCCCTGTGTCCAAACCACGGCCCGCGAGCCAAAGGAGGCCCCGGACCGGACTTGACACGGTCTTCCACAGTGTCTCGGTCCTGTGGGTGTCCCTCTCTGATCCTTCTCCTTCTAGTCTCTCTCTGGTCCCTCTCTGATCCTTCTCCTTCTAGTCTCTCTCTGGTCCCTCTCTGATCCTTCTCCTTCTGGTCCCTCTCTGATCCTTCTCCTGCTAGTCTCTCTCTGGTCCCTCTCTGATCCTTCTCCTTCTAGTCTCTCTCTGGTCCCTCTCTGATCCTTCTCTCTCTGGTCCCTCTCTGATCCTTCTCCTGCTAGTCTCTCTCTGGTCCCTCTCTGATCCTT